TGTAACTCCTGTTCCAGGGGATCCGATACCCTCTTACAGACATACCTGCAGGCAAAACACCTATGTACATAAATAAGTTATTTTAAAAAGCTGCTGTTGTTGCCAGGTGCTCTCAGTGGTCAGATCTCGAAAATGCGTGAATGTAAGCATAGACACATTTGTGAATATACATCTATACCTGTCTCCATCTGTCTGCCTGCCTGCCTATTCCTCTGTGTGTGTGTGTGTGTGTGTGTGTGTGTGTGTGTGTGTGTGTGTGTACGTACGTACGCACGTACGTATGTATGTATGTGTGTATATATGTATATATGTAAGTATGTTAGGGCTCTTGAATTCACAGATAATCTCTATTATGATCCAGCACCTCAAGTATTACCCTCACAGCCCCTGTGATATTTGAGTCCTTTTATCTTACGGTGAACTTCAGTATAGTCACCTGTTTGGTAAATGTTCACACGATCGGTTCCATTGTATATAATAGTTTTGAGACTCTTTGAACATCTCCCTGGCCCAGCACTGCTGGCTGTACTCAACATATCCTGCCCCTCCCCCCAGAGTTCGCAGCATTCTCTGGTTAGAGTGCCCTCACTTTCCACTCCTTGGCAGACTAAGTCCCTTCTCATCGTTAAAGGGTGTCCCAACCCGACTGTGACACACTAGTTTCCTGCCAGTCTGCTCCCAAGGCTGCGGGTGGCTGAGAATGCCTTGTTCCCTCTGCCCTCTCCTCAGAGATCCGCCGCAGGCACTCCTGGGTCGACTCTCTAAGTTAGTGGCAAGGCCAGCGCTCTCAGTTCTAATGGCTTAAGCTTTTAGAGAAAACCAGACCTTAATCTTCATTTTCCACGTGCCTGTTATTAAAGGTGGGTCTGAAAGAAGCCTAATTAGTTGATTACCTTCATAACCATCCAAATAATTGCTTTTACATCTATTCCCAGAACATGAAAAATGGCTGTGAAATGAAGAAAAATGGAGCTTGGGAAGTTAGGTAACTTTGTCATGACATAACTAATTAGCAGACACAGGGCCTGGAAAGAAACCCATGAGCACTGCAGTGCCATGTTCTGCCAGAGGGCCACAGAAGAATTAAAAAATTGTGTGTGTGTGTGTGTGTGTGTGTGTGTGTGTGTGTGTGTGTGTACATGTGGTGTGGAGGCCAGAGGACAACCTAAGGTTTCATTCTTTAGATGCCATCGCTTTATTTATTGAGACAGGGTCTCTTTCTGTCATTGGCTTGCTGGTTTGTCTAGGATAATTGGACAGCAACCCTAGGGGCCCTCTAGTCTCTACCAGTGCTAAGATGTTATTGACAAATGCCACCATACCTGGTTGTCTTCTCTGTGTGTTCTGGAACTTGGTTCCTCATGCTTCTGTAGCAAGCACTTTATCAACTGAGCTATCTCTTTAGTCCTCAAAAATGTTAATATATGGAAGGATGCAAAAATAAGTACTTTATGTTGTTAATGACCTTTGAACTTTTCATACTCTGGAATGAAAGCCAGGATTTCAGGGCCCAAGTATGAAGTGAATAATTTAAGCTAGCTGTAGAGCTGGCCTCTTTAGAGCCTTTGTTTTGATTACTTTGTGAAGTTCTTCCATGTGTTCTGGGAAATGTGTTTCATTTGTAGTATGCACTTGTGTGGTGTGTGTTTGTGAGTGTGTGTTTGTGAGTGTGTTGTGTGTATGTGTTTGAGTGTGTGTTGTTTGTGAGTGTGTGTGTTTGTCAGTGTGTGTGTGTTGTATGTATGTGTGTATGTACCTGTGCACTGGACTCTTCACTGGGAGTATTTGAGAATGTATGATTGTTTATCTTTTTTTGTATGTATACAAGTATTTTGCTTGCATATGTGTCTATGTATAGTGTGCATGCCTGGTGCTCATATAAGTCAGAAGAGAGTATCAGATCCTCTGGAGCTGTAAGTATGGGTGACTGGAACCACCATGTGGGTACTGGGACTCCAATCTGGGTCCCTCTGCAAGAGCAACCAGTACTCTTGACCACTGAGCCATCTTTCCAGTCTGAAAAGTACAACCTTATTCAGAATCTGAAGACATGCTATGGACTAGGGATGAGATTTTAGGACCTCTCCACATTGTCTCAAGTATGGCAGTAAGTGCCAGCTGTGTTACAGGGGTGATTCAAGGATTCACAGGAAACTGGGGATTGTGAAGGGACGATGCTTTGAAAACTTAAGACCTTTTTATTCTTTGAGTAATCATACCTCATGGAGAATCGTGTTGGAAGGAGCATCTCTTTCCTTTATGTCATCATTGGAAACATCATTCACTCAAATTGCCAAGTAGCAATACAGCAGACCCATACAATATATTCCTGTCCTTTCTTTGGGGGTGGGGCAGGGTGGGGATGGAGAGGGTGGGAATCTACCCATCACTTTCCTCTTTCCTCACTCATTTGTATACAAAGGAATCTGTTGCGTGTGGTAAGGCATACTTTGAGTGTGGCTAGGTTATATTTCAGCCTTCAAGACCTTTGAGTCATATGCGCCATAGTTTCCCAGTGTCTGTCACTAATGTCAATGTGCGGTACATAAAGCTACCTGAACACTAATAGTGCTTCTTTGTGCTTTCTTTGGCTTGGACTGGTGAAGTGGTTGGGTTTTTGTTGTTGTTGTTGTTGTTTTTGTATGTAACATTTGTAAATTTGCACTATGGTTTCATAAATCTTAGGACAACTCGCTTGTTTTAGCCTGCAAAGTTATTTTTGCATCGCTGATGTATATAAGAAAAGTATGGGAAAATGTTAGTAAAGAATAAATGCCTACCCGGGTGGTGGTGGCACACGCCTTTAATCCCAGCACTTGGGAGGCAGAGATGGGCAGATCTCTGTGAGTTCAAGGCCAGCCTGGTCTACAGAGTGAGTTCCAGGACAGCCAGGGCTACACAGAGAAACCCTGTCTCAAAAAACAAACAAACAAAAAAACCCCAAGATGCTCATGAATTGTCCCATTTTCTTTCAGTGACATGAATTATTATTTTATTGAATGTTCCAGAGATATACAAGCAAACTAGCCCCTCTAAGTAAATGTCTAGAGAAATGGAGTAATTCTAACACACTTACACAACTCATACATAACAGTAGCCATGCCAGCTCTAGAATCTTTTCAGAGGAAAAAGAAAAATAAAAAGAAAAGAAATTATGGGACAGAGTGATGTCTCAGTAGTGGATAAAGGTATGTTGCTTAGCCTGATAGCCAAGTTCAGTTCCTGGACCAACATGGTGTGAGAGCCAACTTCTGTGGGTTATCTTCTGAACTCTACCTGTACATAGGCATACGATAGATAAAAGTCTAATAAATAAAATGATGTGACGAATTGGCACATTGAGAATAGAAGGATGCCAAGGCACAGGTGACTCCTTTGAATTCCTTCCGTTTGAGTTGAGTTAGAGAGACCCTCCCAAATGGTAAAGTCATGAAACACATTGAGTTGTTCTGATTAATTTAACTACAGGTAAATAGATCCTATGTTCACTTAAAAAATTGTAGTTTTTTATCCCCACAAACATGATCATAATCAATAGTTTAAGAATTTTCATTCAAATCAAAGTTCACTTGTAGGTGTAATTTCTAGCCTACCATCCAGTTCCCAAATAACCACACAGAGACTTATTATCAATATAAATGCTTGGCTGATAGCTTAGGCTTGTTACTAATCAGCTCTTACAACTTAAATTAACCCATATTTCTTACCTACTTTCTACTATGTGACTCAGTACTCTTCAAGAAGGCATGCTCATCTTACTTCTCCCCACATCTCTTGGCAGCTCTGTTCAGCTTCATCCCAGAGAGCCCTCTCCCTGTCTGCAAGTCGTGCCTAACCATTTCCTGCTGAGCTGCTGGCCATTTAGCTCTTTATTAAACCAATGAGAGCAACACATCTTTACACTGTAAAAAAGATTGTTCCACAACATTCACTCTAACAAAAGCTGTAGCTAAAATCCCTACTGTCACTGGCAGAAGATTGTTAGTTTTTCTGAAAAGTTTGATACACATGCTGGTTTTGTTTACCAAATTTTTAACTAATATTTTTATTTTTGTTTTGTATATTTTCATATTTATATTGTTGTTTCTGTTTTTGTTTGTTCACTGGTTTCTGTTACCTTGAACCTTTCCTCAATTTAGTTTTGTCATATGTGTATGTGCATGTATGTTTTGTCTATCTGTCTTTCCATCTAATTTACTTATCAGGCTGTTTTCAGGGACTCTTTGGAGCTCTAGAAGCCTGAAGTGATCTAGGGTTAGGGTGAACTGAGCACACATCAGGGCACACCTCTCTCTACAGATAGCTTTCTTCACATACATCCAGCATTACCTGGCCAGGCGCTTCACCTCCTAGTCAGCTCTCGTCAGTGGTGGGCAGCCTGTTCTCCCTGTATCACTGATAATTTCCCAAGAAGGATCTGCTTTATATTGTAACCAGAGAACCTGTTAGCTCTGAGTAGAATTAATAGGAACCCCAAGATTTTTTTCTCTAACTTGAAAAGTGCTATAGTAACTATATGAGTGGCAGATAAATTTGGTTTTATTTTCTCCCTCAGGTCATAATCATATAGAAGAGGTAGAAATTATTTATAATTTGCATGTCCTTGTAATGATATTTAAGAAGCTTTACGGCTGTAGACCCCTAGGCCAGGGCTTAGAAGCAGTTTTATGGGGCAAGCCTGGCATTCCTTGTAGCAGGATGTGAGCTCCAGCAGAGTGCTGTAGGCGATATTAATTGGGGGTAACGTTTAGTAAGTGACAAATGTTTTACCTTTTCTAATTCTGAAGTGGGTTCTTTTGGCTCTGAAGGGCTGCCCAGCACTTGCCTGCCTGCTTTGTAACTGTCTCAATGGTTTTCTTCTCCAGCCCTCTACGACGAGATCAGTCAGTTTCGAAAGGCCTGTGGGGAGGCACATCTCAAAACCATCTTAGCCACGGGAGAGCTCGGCTCGCTCACCAACATCTACAAAGCCAGCCTGGTAGCAATGATGGCAGGTGAGCTTTATGTATTCAGACCGGGTTCCTACTGGATTGAAGGTTTTAGGGGAAAGGAGCAAATAAAAGCATTTGCATGTTACTGGAAGCGCTAACCCCTTGGGGGAGTCTTTTTGGGAGGGATGAGTCGTTTTGTGAATGCATACACACAGAGTGAAGTGGTCAGACACTTGGGGCTTTCCTCCAACTTTCTTTTTTGGTTTTGTTTGTTTGTTTGTGACATTTCTTTGCTGCTCTATCCTTAGGGAGCAGCAGATGGCGCTCTTGTTAGCTATTTGCTTTTGTGTGATTTGACTATTCATTTATCAACACATCCTGGGCAGGAATTCTTGTGAGTTAAGAGTTGAGTTTTTCCCCTAGACCTGCCTGTGTGCTTTCTGAGGCAGCCTCTGCTTTTGTCCCTGCAAATAGAAATAAGAACTCGTGTGGTGTTGTCTTTTGTGCTTTCACATGGGAGTTGACTCGCTGCTTTGCATGCTCAGCAGATGTGTCCACGTGCGAGCCTTCTAGTTGGAGTTGGGCTGTACATTGTCACCTCCACAACACCAGCGGTGGAATTGGGCTGTACATTGTCACCTCCACAACACCAGCGGTGGAGTTGGGCTGTACATTGTCACCTCCATAACACTAGGCTTGGAGTTGGGTTGTACATTCTCACCTCCACAACACCGGCGTTGGAGTTGGGTTGTGCATTCTCACCTCCACAACACCAGCGGTGGAGTTGGGTTGTACATTCTCACCTCCACAACACCAGCGGTGGAGTTGGGTTGTACATTCTCACCTCTACAACACCGGCGGTGGAGTTGGGTTGTACATTCTCACCTCTACAACATCGGCGGTGGAGTTGGGTTGTACATTCTCACCTCTACAACATCGGCGGTGGAGTTGGGTTGTACATTCTCACCTCTACAACACCGGCGGTGGAGTTGGGCTGTACATTCTCACCTCTACAACACCAGCGGTGGAGTTGGGCTGTACATTCTCACCTCCACAACACCAACGGTGGAGTTGGGTTGTACATTCTCACCTCCATAACACTAGGGTTGGAGTTGGGTTGTACATTGTCACCCCCACAACACCAGCGTTGGAGTTGGGTTGTACATTGTCACCTCCACAAACCAGCGTTGGAGTTGGGTTGTGCATTGTCACCTCCACAAACCAGCGTTGGAGTTGGGTTGTACATTGTCACCTCCACAAACCAGCGTTGGAGTTGGGTTGTACATTCTTACCTCTACAACACCGACCGGCGTTGGAGTTGGGTTGTACATTGTCACCTCCACAACACCGGCGATTCTGTAGTCTCACCTGTTGCCATGCCTAATGCTTTTCCCGGCTCTCCAGAGATGCTGCTGCCTTGGGCAGACCCTCCCGACTGGATTACTTCAACTCAGTTGTCTGTCCCTACTTTTGGCCCCTCCCACTCTTCTCCCCTTTGTGCTGCTAAATGATCTTTTCACAGGGATGGTTTAACTATGGCATTGCTTCACTAGAATCTGTAGTCGGGTCCCTTCCCCTTTGAGATGGAGCGTAGCTTTTCTGGTTCCGTGTCTGTCTCCAGCCGTCTCATTTCCCCTTCACCTTGGAGAGTCAGCCTTGCAGAGTGACTTGGAGCTTCTTCAAACTCCTTTTCATCTTTGTAAATGTTGGGCCCCCTGCCTAGAAGGCCTTCTGCCAGAATAGCTGTCCTGAGCATGCTTGGCATGAGTATAGGCACACCAGTGTCCAGCGCCTCTTCCTTCTCCAGCCCTTGGTCTGTCCTGTCCCCTGTGAGCCCCATGTCCTTCAGGTAGGCCTGTTCGATGGCATGCCTTCCTGTGCTGGGGAGGGAGCTGAATTTGAGGGGCCCCGCAAAGGGGTGAAGATGCTCTGCTTCTCTGGTTCAGGCTGTCCGTTGTGCTCACCCTGTAGATGCCTTTTGAATGCTCTGTCAGGCCGAGTGGATGGTTCCCTGGAGCTCACTGAATCAGCCTGGAGGCACTAAGGCCAGCCACTGCTGTTGGGTGCCATCCATGGCTGCTGCCCTTTCATCGCTGAATATCTAAAAATCCAAAGCTAACGCGGAATCGAGTGCTTTGTGCAGAGGCTCACTGGAATGCTGGTGTCCCAACGGCCCGCAGTAGCCAGAGGCTCACCGTAACTTGGGGGAGGGAGGGGGGAATGACATGACTGTGTGTGAGCTGGGCATGTTCCCCTTTAGTGCCCTTTGACAAAGCAAGAGACTGTCAGTCCAGACAGCAAAGTAAAAGCCGAGGCCACCTGCTGCGAACTGCAGGCAGATAGGCCTGCAGCCCTTGTGGGACACCTTGAGGGTGCTGCCCTGTCAGCCTGCACACGAGGCTGAAGCACTTACGTTGAGGTGTCTCTCACCCCAGCCGTGGCACCGTCACTAAGTGTTTGAGTTCTGACAGGCCGTCCGTCTTCTCTCTGCACCTGCCGCTCACAGAGAGGAGGTGGCATTGGGCCACCTCCATCAAGTCAACCCCAGGAAAAGCTGGCTAGGACACTGCCCCTGCCACTTGCTTTCTGTTTAGTTGGCCCTCAGTGTTTATCTGTTTCATTTCGCTGTTTACCTTGTCTGTTGAGGACATGCATAGCTGTGATGTACACGCAGTCCATCTTCGGATTATTCTTATGTTCCTGTCATTTTAGTTGGTGTAGAAAACAACGGGCTTTGTGATGAAATTTCCAGACATACATTGTCATTGGGCTCTGTTCATACTGGCTTTCTGTATTACTCTCCTGTCCTGTCTCCCATCTATCCCTTCCATCCCTCCCTAGTTAGCGCCCCTCTGCCTTGTCTAACACACACACACACACACACACACACACACACACTCACACTCACACACACTCACACACGCACGTGATACATGAGAATTACACATAGGAGCGAAATCATGTGTCTGCATAAAGTCACATTGTGTATATACACTGCTTTTTTCTTTTTCTTTCTAGTCTGGCTCCATTCTTTGGCTGTTGTGAGTAAGCACAAACATGCTGGTGTCTCTGTTTGTGCCTGCCCTGATTTCTCTGGGTCTATACCAAGAAGTGACACGGCTGGATTGCACAGGGGTTCTCTTTTCAGTTTTCTGGGAGTATCCTTATTGATTTCCAATGGGCCCCCACAGGTTTTCTGTTGGTGTGTGTGTGTGTGTGTGTGTGTGTGTGTGTGTGTGTTCCTAGGGGTCAAGCTGGGCCCGTGATGGCCATGTGTTCTGCCACTGAGTTCTGTCCCAATTGTTGACATACCAGCTTTAATACCCCTCATCTTCCCATCAGTCCTGGGCTGGATGAAGAGCCCTGGCGTTCACTGGTTTCCGAGAGGCTGCAAAGCTCACGCACACCTGTAGTCAGTACGGAGCTCTGGTTTATGGAGCTTTCACTTGCGGTGCAGCTATTCCTTAAGATGCGCTCACCCTCGTGAAGGGCGTTGTCTTAGAGTGAGTGGCATAGTATTATCTGCCCACTTCTCAATCTGTATGTATCCTGCCATTATATATCAATGAACTGAAGTATTTGTCATGTACTTTTAAAATTTAGTCTATTTTATATTTTTGCTTTACTTTTATATATAACGCACAAAATAATCCCCAATTAAAATAATTTAATTTCTTTTACTAAAATGTTAACTTCATTGAGATAAATTTGTATTCATTGGAAATTGGGTGGTAAGTGTCCAAGTACCACAATCAAGAAGTAGAACTTTGCCGTCTCCGTCACTGTTGTGTTGCTGGGAAGAGGCACCATGACCAAGGTAATTTATAAACGGAAGCATTTAACTGGGGGCTTGCCTGCAGTTTCACCTTGGTTGGGAGTGTGGTGGCAGCCGGGCAGGCCTGGAAGCATAGCAGTAGCCGAGAGTTTACATCTTACCTACAAGTTAGAGGCAGAGGAGAGCTCAGGACTGTGTTTGGCAAGGGCTTCTGAGACCTCAAAGAAAATCTATTCGCCTCTTTCATTACCCCTACAATAATAGGCCTACCTGTTGTAATTATCATCGTTGTGTCAGCCCCAATGACACACCTCCTCTGACAAGAGCACACCTCCTACTCCTTCCTAAACAGTAGCTGGGGGCCAGCACTGGGCCTAAGAGCCTGTGGAGGCCGTTTCTAGTCAGACCATCGCAGACCCTTGACAGTCAGTTCCATGTGTTGCACCTGCCTCCTCAGCTACATAAGCATTGATCTGATTTTGTCAACACCCATCGCCATTGTCAGTAGAACACCATGTAGTTCACATCGTAGGTACCCTCTTATGTGCTGCCCCCAAAATAATAACCACGAGACTGTACATCTTCTTACAGGCACTGTCCCCCCAATATAATAATCATGAAACTGTACGTTTTCTTACAGGCACTGTTCCCCAAAATAATAACCACGAGACTGTACATCTTCTTACAGGCACTGTCCCCCCAATATAATAATCATGAAACTGTACGTTTTCTTACAGGCACTGTTCCCCAAAATAATAACCACGAGACTGTACATCTTCTTACAGGCACTGTCCCCCAATATAATAATCATGAGACTGTACGTTTTCTTACAGGCGCTGCTCACCCCAAAATGATAACCATGAAACTATGTTTTCTTACAGGTGCTGCTCCCCAAAATAATAATCATGAAACTCTACATCTTCTCACAGGTGCTGCTCCCCAAAATAATAATCACGAGACTGTACGTTTTCTTACAAGTGCTGCCCCCCATTGCCACATAAATATGTTGAGCTGTTAAAATTATGGTTCTAAGCTGTCTATGGAGCCGCTCCTGGTCTGATGTCTGTAAGGTCTGTAGTTGCAGCTCACTCTTCATCCTGACGACTGATTGGTTCTTTTCACTGTTTTTGTTCTTTTCTCCTGTTGGGGGCTTGCAGATGTTTTGCCAATTTTATTAATCAGTCTGTTCAAATACCTAACTTTTAACCTTGCCTTCTTGTTTACAGTTAAAGGTTTTCTAGTTTCCTTTGTATTGTCATTTAGAATGTTATTTAAAGTCTCATATAGATTGAGAGCTTTATTGTCTAAATGTTTAGTACTTTTCTGGAAACTGAACTTGGGTCTTCTGTAAGAGCAGTGTATGTTCTTAGCTACTGTGCTGTTATCTCCAGCCCCCAGAATTATTTTGTCAAATATATTTTCTGCTCCAGGTATGTAAGTGTAACACTGCTTGATACTGTCCCATAGGCTCCTTAAGTCCTCTCTGCTTAATCATCATCATCATCATCCTCACCATCCTCACCATCATCTCCATCCTCACTACCATCACCATCCTCACTGTTTTTAGTACTGTTCTCCAAACAGGAAATTAGGAATTATGAAGCTATTAATTTATTCATGTCCCTTATCCTTTGTTTCGTATCTTAAGTTTGCTTTTAAACTTACCCAGTAAAATTTATGCCAGTGTACATTTTTGGGTTTTGAATTTTTGTTTGAGATTGTAACTTAATTACAACATTTCACTCTCCTTTTGAGTCTTTAAACTCATTGAAATCATGTTTTGTTATATGTCTTTGAACATATTTACAACAGCTGATTTAAAGAGCCTCTCTGCTAACTTGTGTGTCTGAGTTATCTTAGGATCTGTGTTTTCAGCTACCAACTTTCCAATGCTTGGCCAACTTTCCTGCCACGTTCTAATTCCTGATAACTGGTAAGCAAGTCCATCAGTGTTCTGATACGTCTGGGATCCTCCATCAACACTTGTGCTCATTACTTTAAAACTAAATTGCTACAAGTCTGTGATTTACATTCACCATAATTTTATAGCTTTGATAGCCATTTAGATGATTACAAAAGCAATTCTTCATGAGAAAGGGTGGATGGAGAAACCTAAGTGTGTTAGTGTGGTACTGTTGGTCACTGTAAATAAAACCTTAGCTAACCAAGGCATTTGCACGTTGGGTCAGCACTATGATCCAAATGCCTTCTCCAAAACATGGGCTGAAGTGGAGTCTCCTGGGTGCTGGTATTAAGGGGTAGGGCCTTTGCGAAGTTCTCACATCTGCCCTTATGTGTAGATTAATGCTGTTTCCAAAGGCGTGAGCTAGTGTGGCGTTTGCTTAACTCACTCATGTTCTGCTCTCTGTCTCCTGTATGCTTGTGTGCTTTTCTGCCTTGGGAAGCAGCACAGAGGCCCTCACCAGTGTTGTCTTCCTGGGCATCCCAGCCTCCAGACCTGGGAGCCCAGTTAACTTGTATTTAGTAAGTGCTGTGACAGTATCCCATGGCAACCCCAGGAAGCAGATTGAGAGTCAACTCAATGATTCACGTCCTACTTTTGTGTGAAGCTTATTGAGTATTCTCTCAGAATAAAATACTTCTGACGAAGGAGCACAGTCAGAGAGGGTCCGGGCTCTCGTTTTCCCCTGCTTGACTTGACCTTGTGCAATTAAATTATTGGTTGTCAAACAGTTGAATTAAGGTATGCAGATACATTGTAAACCATAAGACAGTAACCTTGCAAGTGATTGAGATCTCAGCATGCCTTCTATACTATCCTATTAATGAGAACGGAGGGCACAACTGAATCTTTCTGCTAGGCTGTCACAGGCATTCAGGGTGTGGCTTTTCAAAAGCACTTGACTGTGGCTCTGGGGATTATGTGATAGTCAGTCATGCTTTTCTGTACCCACCCCAGAGCTTGTATTAGAGGGTTGCTCCAAAAACTTTAGATATGAACTCATTAGAAAAGAGAGCTATAAAAGGGATCCTGTTAGGAATCCCCATTAGCTGTGATCCATTAGTTATGTTTTTGATACAGTTCCTAGCCTTGCGTGCCCGTCACCTCTCGTAACTGCTGTACCTTAGAAGCTCTAGCAGAATCATGAGCCCTTCAGACCAGCAGCCAGATGAAATTATCACACAGCTCCAGAACGCCAGGCACCCGATAGGGAAGTAAACATTTGGAAAGCAGTGCAAAGAACAGCTCCTTTACACCCGCTCCAGAGGCTCCACAGCTAAGGCATCCTGAGGGCCAGTGCAAGGCTTGCAGAGTGAGAGTTCAGAGGCCCCACTGGTGGGCATGATTTGCACGAGTCTGTGACGGAACTAGGGAAAATCTGGTAAGAAACCGAATGAAGGAAGAGCTGGGAGCAGTAGGCAATTTGAGGGGAAACGAATGGGGGCCTGGGAAAGGCTGCACATAACTTTCATCTAGCTGTCCATAAACAGTGACAGGATCGCAAGCCAGGCGCTTACAGGAAAGGGGAGCGGAAAGCAGGCTGGCTGGCGAGCGTACTTGCTGTGAGAGCCCAGTGACTCCACTCAGAGAATGCAAGGGTGTAGCGCGCCTTTATCTTTGGGAACGCAGGGCTGTCCGCACACAGGCAACAGCTAACAAGCTCTCCTCCAGGTTACTCTAGACCTTATCTTCAGGAACAATACAGGCGTGATAAATAAGTCTAGAGTGGCGGCGCAGTAAAGATGCAATCGTAATGTCATCAGGTTTGAACCGCTGATGCGGATCTGGGCAGGAAGCAGTTGCAGAAATATGGGACTGGAGGAGAGAGCACCGTGAAGGAATGCGCAATGAGTTCTCAACTGGGCAAGACTTTTGTAAGGTGGAGGAAATAAAAGTTAAAGAAAAAAAAAAAAGCAGGAGCCAGGGGAATGGATGATACAAAATCTAACCTGATGATACAAAATCTAACCTGATAAGATCCGAGGAATGCAGGAACAGTGAGGAGGAGCAGAGAAATAGGAAACAATGTAAATGAGGTCATTAAGGGATAAAAGCAAGGGGAAAGTCGTGGGAAACTCGCTTGGATCACTAGAAGCAGAAACATTAAAAGCATGCAGTGATTAATAATACCTAAGGCTTAAATACGATTACCGTGATTCAAATAGTAAATGACACCAGAAGATTGCCACACGTCACACTGGGTCCCTTGTCACCTGCCACAGGTCTTCCTTGCTCAAGAAGTATTGATCCAGATAGTGTTTTCTGATCCCTGTGCTGTGCCAGCCTGGGTTTTCTTTTCTTTTTAAAATAGGAGTTGTTTTTCATAAGTAAAGATGTTTAACTTATGAAAAGACAAGCCACGAGTGCAAACCTACCACTGGAGAAAGCATAGGCGTGTAGAGCTGTGTTGGCTTAGAAGGAGCTTTGTGGAAGGTTTCCTGTTTGGGGCTCAAGGGGGCACAGAGGTCGATTGTCCTTTGGGGTAACAGGTTCTCTAGAAGAGTTGTGTGGCATGGACAGACCGACAGCAGCATTGCAGGGCCGGCAGGCCAGTTCAGCCCACGCAGCGTTCCGCCTCCAGAGGAACAGTGAAGGCTCTGTGTAGACCACATGATTGCGAGCGATCCTTAGTGCAGGTTGTGTCTGAATGAGCTCTGGGGCGGGGTGACGGCAAGAATCTAGAAAATTGTCACTTTAGTTCTGGGCACCAAGTTACTGTAGCTTGGGCAATGGTCACAGTTGAGTTGAAATGGCGTGGCCCTGGCTGACAGCCTGTAGCTGACCCAGATCTGCATTTCCAGGACAGCTCTGAGGCACTGCGGTGATGTGACATGAGAGTTTGTGAGAATTCGCAGGTGCATCTGGAAGGGAGGGAGAGCACCCGATAAAGGGAGCTGCTGTCTGGCTCGGAGGAAGTAAGAAGCTCTGAGGGGCCCTCCGTGGTCAGGGCTTCAAAGTATAACTTTGTTTATACTTAAATGAGGCCGGAAGTCAGACCACTTACAGGGTGAAAGCTAGCTTGCCATTTCATCTGGGGAGGAGATTTAACTGCAGGCTCCCAAACAGGCATTTCAGGGTATTTACCCCTCCCACTCTTGCCCCCACAACAGACATTTCAGCATGCTGACCCCGCTCACTGCCTTGCTGTCCTTTGCTGAGGGTGAGCTCTGGTGGGCACACCACTCCAACCTGCCGTCACATGCATCTTCTCTCTGTGTGCCTGCGTCTTCTCCATGACTTCCTGCCAGGCTATGTACACCTTCCTCAGGGTGGTTTCATCCTACCCGATTACAGATGCAATCACCCCACTTCCAAATCAGCTCACTTTCTAAGGAATGTAGGGTTTCGATTTTGACATCTTTTGTTTGTGCATAATTCAGTCCATAGCGAAAGAAAAAGGATTTCTTGCTTCTGAGGAGAACATGGAGAATCAAACTGACAAACTTGAATTCAGAGACAAAAGATTGATACCCCCCCTGTCCCCTCCCAGCAATATATGTTATGTGGAATGGGGAAATCTAGTAAACATTAAATATTTTTATCTGCAAAAAGCATTTGGTAAGATTCTCAATGGGAGATTAATGGCTAAAATAAAGAGTGAGGCATTAGGAGATAAATTTGCTTATGAGCAAGCGACAGAGACTAACGGGCAGAGGAAATACCTTTTAGATTGGAAAGGAGTGACATACAGCCCAAGCCAGGAATCAGTTTTGGGACCTGTGGGTTTTTCACTTTATTTTTATTGGACTCTGTAATAAAAATACAGGTCCTCAAACAGTCCAAGACAGAGTGAGAAATACTCCGAGCATCAGTAATCAAAAGTTATTCTCGATCATAAACTAAATGACTGGAAATAAATACTGACACCAGTCTGCACCACGTTCCATAATATTATAAAGTGGAGCCAGAGATTCTCCAGTGCTCTCTTTTCTTCCGCGCGGATGAATATTTCTTTATTTGACTTTTAAAAATTGAAGATTTCTAGGTTTACTTCATAAGAAAAAAGATGTATTTTTTCAAATGTAGAAAGTTATGTTAATGAAGGAAAAACTGGTTGACGCAAACCCAAGGTTATATTGGCATTTCTAGAAGAAAGAAAAGAGGAACCCTCTGTTAAATTGCTCAGCCAGCTATTGAGTAAAAAGGCTTAGGTAGCAACGGGGGCGTTATGGAAATCACAGCATACTTCCATGACCCTAGCCCTAATGGGAGCATGCACAAAGAGAGGCATCGCTAGACTGACTGACACTGCGGATCGGAGGAGGGGACTGCCACATGGAGCGTCTTTTCTTTTTAAATTTTAACGTGGCTTTTAAAAAGTCCGTAAACTTCAGTGATACTGTGTGTGATTTTTGTCTTCCCAGGAGCTAGTTAGGCAAATGGAAACTATGGTCTTCAGGTTGGAATTGAGTCTGCAACATTTTTGTGTGTAAGTCACTGAAACTATCTTTACTTGTCCATCAGTGTCCCCATTATTTGCCGGTCAGAGATTAAAAGAATGCTTGTGAGTTAACACTGAGAGCCTGGGGATGGAGCTCCCTGGTCGGAATGCCTGCCATGTACAATGCTCTGAGTTCAGTCCCTAGACAAAGTTGTGTAAGTAGTAGGTAGTTTAAGTTGGAATACTTAAAAAACGAGGAGCGGGACAGGGCTCAGCCGTTGGGAGCACCTGTTGCTCTTGCAGAGGGCCCTGCTCTGTCCCAGCACCCACGCAGGAGTCTACGACCATCTGTAGCTGCAGTTCCAGGGGCTCTGATGCCATTTTCTGACCTCTGAGCCCAACAGGCAGGTGAATGGTTCACAGATATATATCTACCCATGCACGTAAAATAAAAATAAGTCTTTAAACAGAAAAAATATTCGCCAAAATAATGCTTTTGCTTTTGTTCATAAAGAGTCTGCTAACCTCCAAACTTTCATTTTGTAGTGAGCAAACCTGAATTACAAAATGGCCAAACTCACAATGAACT